CCCCACGCGCTCCACCAGCCCCACGTCCACCGGCATCCTGCCCCGCTGGAAGGGGCCGACTGAGCTGTGCTTCACGCAGCTCATGGGCCTGGAGGGACAGGTGGGACAAGGCAGATGAGAGGAGCCTTTGGCCATTTATTAAACAGGAAATAGGAAGAAGCCCTCTCTCATTTCCCTATTATTTTTAACACAGCGCTGCATCCCCCAGCTTCCTTCCCTGGCGCTTGGTTCGGAGCACAGCACGAGCGCAGGAAGGGATGTGGTCTGCCTGTCCCACCACCGTTTTGAGGGGGGAAATATCTGCCCCCCAACCTGGGCAAGGTCTCCCTGGCTGAATCCAACCAGTCGGGATTAAACCGAGCTGAAGCCACCCATAATGAAATCTGCTCTCCATCCTCTCCACGCTCTGCAGACCCTACGGCCACGGCCCTTGTGAACCACACCAGTCTCAGAGGCCTTATTAAGAGCCTAACGAAGAGCCGCAAACAGAGAGCTCGGGATTAGGTGCCCCGGGCACGGTGCTGGAGGTGGCCACTGCACCGTCCCCCCCTGGCCGGGCAGCGGGTGTCCAGGTGGGGCTGCCGCCTCCTCTTCCACCCGCCAGCGGGAAGGTCACAGTTCACGTGTCCCCTGACCTTGGCAGAAATAGCGCCCGCTAATCTGCAAACTAAGCAGCTCTCCAGTGTCCAATTAAAGAGATCACAAGTCCCTGCCCTGGGCAATGTGTGCTGACAGCTAAAGCCCTGGGCAGCAGGGCTGGTGGGGCTGGCAGGGCTGGTGTGTCATGGTGGCTCGTGGTGGCTCCCAGTGGCTCCTGGTGGCCCACGGGGCCAGGGGCACAGGTGGGCTGTGTTTGGGAGGGGTTGGTACCCAGGTGCTGAAGGTCGTTGAGCTGATCCAGGGTGCTGGGAGGAGGCTGCTGGCAGCTCCGGGATGGAGGCACAGCGGCGAGCAGGAATATCCCAACCTCAGTGCTCAGCTCTGGGGGCTGAGCCAGAACCAAGTGCGTGCTCAAAGCAAAGGGTCTGGCCGAGCAAGGGCTTGAGGGACGCTAGAGGTGAGGAAGATGAGTGGGGCCTTGCTGGAGCAATTTGCAGGCTGCCCTGGGCTGTCCTTGGGGTCTGTGCCCTGTCCCTAGGGCCAACCCAGGGGCAGCATCCACGTGAGCATCCTGCAGCCACCCCTGCAGGAGGGGGATCCTGCGCGCTGGCAGCGGCTGAGGAAGGATAGTGGCAGGGAGCACTTCTCTCCCAGCAGGCCGTAAGGCAAATCCACTCTGCACTTTCAACAGTTTTCTATTTGCAGCAGCAAACCTTGAATTAATGATGTGCTAATCGGATCAGGCGAGGCCAGCCCACGGCGTTATGAAATGATGCGGGGCTGAGCAGATTGCCCAGCGGTGCTGGGGAATGGTGGCAGGTCTGTGTCCCACCACCAGCTGGAATGGTGGCCAGCCCTTCCCTGTTGCTTCAGGGGGAAGCAAAGCCTAGTGTGGGAGCTGCTGCTGCAGCCCCAAGCCTCGCGTGTGCCTTCGCCCCATCATCTTGTACATCATCATCCCCGCGGCAAGGGTGTCCTGTGTGCCCTGGACCACGGCAGGTCACCTCTAGATGACCGGCCAGATGGGCACGTTGGCCATGCAAGAAGCTGCCTGCACCTCCCATCCATCTGTGAGCCATGCAGCAAAGTGCGTAAGGGAGGGATAAAACCGGGCAGATCCCTCCCTCCCCTCTGCCATCTCCGTCCACCCTCGTGCCCAGGGCTGGCCCAGCTCCACTTGCCATGGGAGCAGTTCTAGAGAGCCCCCGTGGGAATCTGCGCCCCTGCCCACTGGGAGTGGAGCTTCCACCTCAATTACCATCACCTTGCTCCTAAGCCCTCTTTGCCAATCTCCATAAGCTGCTTTCTCAGGGCTCCAGCAGCAGCCATATTTATAGCCCACTCTTACTCATGAAGCGTCTCCCCAGTTAATAAATTAATAGGATTCTTGCTGAAAGTACCTCTCCTGTGGTGCGCGCACACACACACACCCCCCCCCACACCCCACG